TCTCGCATCCCTATCGTTGATCTTTAGTGTTCCTACATATATAAGTCATGTAAGACACCCTATTCGTCATCCCGACAGAAAAGGACCGGACGAAAAAATTTCAGCCTAGAATTACCCTATACCCGGTCGGGTAGGGTCTTCTACCCGGTCGAGTATCACTCGAATTCTTAAAGGGAAACCCCCTTGTCTTCCTTGCTCGGTCGAGTACCAGCCTCGAATTCGGGCAAAATGTCAATACCCGGTCGGGTATATACCTATACCCGGTCGGGTATCACTCAAAATCCACAAATAAAAGCTCCTTGTCTTCTACGCTCGATCGAGTACACACTTCGAAGCTCAAAATATACACATACCCGGTCGGGTATATAGCCATACCCGATCGGGTATTGCTCGAAATGTCAAAAATAAGGCATCCTGCCTTGGCTGCCCGAACGGGTGCACACTTCAAACTCGAAGCATAGCTTATACCCGGTCGGGTCTATAGGAGTACCCGATCGGGTCCTTCATATTTTTGAAGATTTTTCAACCCATTACATGATCAAATACGTGTGAAATCAAGAGATTACCTGCAATGGAGTCCGGGTTGGCCCGAGCATCAGCCTCGGTCATTGCATACACCCGTGCTTGGGTCCTCCCTTGGTTAACGGACGCGGCGTTGCTAGCAGTGGGTCCGCTCCTTCCCGTGCCGGCCTGAGACGGCCCCGCACGTCCCCTACTAGTCGTAGGTCCTCCCATGGCTCCCGATGGTCCTCCCCCGTTCAGCATTGGACAAGAGGATTTGAGGTGGCTCGTGCTACCGCATTTGTAACACCGGGGTGGTTCATTTCACTTCCCCGCATGATTCTTGCCGCAGTTTGCACACCTCGGTGACCATGTACTCCCTGGTTTGGCCCCTTGCCCTCCTGAACCTTTGTTCCTTTTCGCCGGTGGTGCCGGCGCCCTGAATGAACTGCCACCCCCAGCATGATGCTTCCGGGAGTGGTCTTGGGGTCCAGCGTTTCCCCATCTTCTTTTCTTCGCCTCCTCGGCGTCTCTCAACTTCCTCTCGTTCCATTGGGCTTCCCCAAGGAGCCCCTGATCAACGATTTGGCTAAATGTCATACTGTGATGGTAAGTAGCCCGGTCACGGATGTCCAACTGTAGAGCATCCCAAAAGTGATTGGCCATACGATTTTCATCCAATGAGTATTCTGGGATGAATCGTGCCAAGTCACGGAACCTTTGTTCCAATTGCCTCACCGAGCAACCATCCTCCTGTTTCAGGTTCGTGTACTCTCTTCTTTAGAGATTGACTTCAAAAGTTGAGTAGTACTGATTATAGAACTCCACTTCGAATTTCTCCCAAGTGGCTTCACCGTGGAACTTTCCCTCCACGCCTTCCCACCATACAGCGGCTACCCCTTCTAGTAACCTGGTGGCAACCCTCAACTTCACGTCGAGTGAAATTTGCATGTCCCTAGAAGCATCATTCAGCTTCTTAATCCAGTCGGCGGCCTCAGATATGTCGCCCTTGCCATCAAATGATTTGCACCCCAAGGCCCTAGTTTCCTTGAGGTACTTGGAGATACGCACCATCGTGTCTCCTCCAAATGCCCCCGATGGAGCACTAGAAGCACCTCGGCTTCCTTGCCCCATGGTCTGCCTAGCCTGTCTAGCTTGGCGCCGCTGTTCTCTCTTTGCTTTATTCTCGAGGTACCATTCTAGTACCTCACTCATACGGTCATAATGAGGATCATCATCCTCATCTTCTTCCTCAAAGTCCTCCCCGTTGTACGGGGTCTCCTCTTGCTCCGTGCTTGGAGCATAGGTGAAGTCGTCCGGTTCGGTGGCCCATGACGGGTGCACGGAACCGACGCGTGTGCTACTTGTCGTCGGCGTGGTAGAACGCCCACGACCCCTGCCTCGGCCTCCTCCTCGGCTTTGGCCCCGGCCTCTACCCCTAGAGGTTTGTGATTCCGCCCGAGTGGCATGCCCGGTGGCCCCCTGCACATGCCCTGTCGGGTTCCTCCTAGTTATCCTGCGTCCACCCTCCATTTCTGAAAGAAATAAGGAATGAGTCATTAGACTCGTTTCAATGTCAATTGACGGATTAGTACAAAAGACACCACTTGGTCCAACATTATGGCCAACAAACTGTTAAGGGTACCGTCTTAACAATAAGAGGTCAATAACTTGGTTTCCAACGGTTCCTTAAGTACAAAAACTGTTGCTCATGGTTTTATTCAAAACGTTTTGAGGATAACCATATTGAGAGGTTAATTATATAGTTTAGAAATCGATGGCTCTGATACCACTTAATTGTCACGCCCCGGACCGCATCCGAGCCACGTAGACAACCGCCGTACAACCCGATAAGAACAACAACAGTTCATCCCTATTGAGTTGTACAAGGCGTCCGATTTATTCTATTGCCAAACCGATTAGTAAACACATACAATCAACATCAATATCATAATCAATCAAATGCGAAAAATAATAAAATGTTTCATACTTAGCCACACGTGGCAAACACGGGCACGCAGGCCCCCAACTGTTTTAATGAAAATATTGTTCAAAAATCCATGAGCGGTTTATACATTTGAAATAAGAATGGAAGCACGAACCACGTCTTCCTTCTCGATCAGTCACCCTAGGCAAAGGTGCAGGTAGTAGGACTCTAGCCTCAACCTGAAAAATGTGAGGGCCCCCGGAGGGGTCAGTACTCCATAGAAGTACTAGTGACAAGCAGGCTATATGAAGAATAACTAATGTTTCAGACACGAGACCCAAAAATAGGGTGATATATACATATAGATGTCCCTCATCCACCCGATGATACATACTGTATATATACTCGTAAAATACTCAACCCGTAGGTCATTTACCTTAAAGAGTCTTTTAGAGATAAAGTTTTTGCCTGACTTTTCTCACTCCTTTCCCGGTTACCTAGCTCACAAGCTATAGTCTACCTTCGATTCATACTACCGAGTGTTTTAGGATCATTTACCGTCCAAGGCACTCAACCCATCCTGGAGTATTTAAGATCATTTACCGTCCAAGGGTACTCGGCCCCACCTGGAGTATTCTGGATCATTTACCGTCCAAGGGTACTCGACCCCACCTGGAGTATTCTGGATCATTTACCGTCCAAGGGTACTCGACCCCACCTGGAGTATTCTGGATCATTTACCGTCCAAGGGTACTCGACCCCACCTGGAGTATTCTGGATCATTTACCGTCCAAGGGCACTCAATCCTCAGTCTATTCTCTACCAAATCCTAACCTGGATATGGCTAACCTTTCATTCCTTTAACTATGGACAATGCCTAGCCCTATAGTCATATAACAATCCTTAGGATCCAACGTGGGTGGGTCCCACCCGAACGGCCCACGTTAACCTACTCAAAACTGCCCGTTTTGAGCATAACCCAATACTCGATCGAGTATTAACCCATACTCGGTCGAGTACAGGAGACAGTAGTCCACAAAGCTGATTTTCAACAAATACCCGGTTGGGTATGTGTCAATACCCGATCGGGTATGGCAGTTGACTTGGCGGTCAACGCCCCTTTTGACCCCCCAAACGGAGTCCGATTAACTTGAAATTTTATACACATATACTTCTTGATGTCCTTGATCCAAAAATACCATTTTGGATCCCTGGATCATCACACAAAATATGTTATCACATTTTTAATCACCAAACCTACATAACATGCTTTTTAACTATGTTTTGTGTATAATCATGGCATAAACACACACTTGGTTATCTTTAATCATTCCACAAAACATATTCCTGATTACTTTAGGTAATCTCATGCCTCACGCAAAAGTTATAAAGCATAAAGTCGTCTTCTCACCTTAATGAAGCTTATGAAGTTCTAGCCTCCCCGATTTAGCTCCGACGAAACTCCGGCGAACTTCAACGAACTCCGACGACAACTCCGGTGACCTTTTCAACTCCGTGAAAGTTCCTTGAATACCTTAGACAAGTTACTAACAAGGTTTTATCATCACAAAACCCATAGTAATACAAATAACCTCAAAAAGGTTATTTTCCGGCGAACCGGTCACTTTGGCTTCTAAGTCCGTTCTTTGACTTAGAACTACCTTCCAACCCCTCTTTCTACACATCCCAACGTGTAGAACATTACTAGGGTGTGAAATATGATTGAATAATCATAAAAGAGTATTGAAGAACAAGAAATAGGAGTAATGGAGTCATTACCTTGTTAAACACAAGTTTTCCCACCTAAACTCCTCTTTTCTCTTCTCTTTTCCCTTTCTTCTTCCTCCCTTAACTTGGTGCGTGTATGATGGATGAAAATGGTTTATTTGCAGAGCTCCTCTCACTTGGTTGATGCCTGATACGAAATGGGGTGGGTTGGTATGATTGAGAATGCCTTCTTGGCATTTCTCACAATCATGGCATGTGGGAGGCCCTACTCCATTTAATGCCTTTCCCCTCAACCCCTTCTCTTTCCCCTCCCCCTTCTCTTTGTGCGGCTCCCTTGACATCTGCAGCACTAAAATCCGTGGGGTGGCCCCCACTCATGTGGGAGGTCATCCCTTTATGTCCCTAAGTGTAGAATCGGTCCCGAAAGTTGTATTTTCCGGACTGTTTTAAGTATATTTTATTGGGTCAAATAAAATATAACACTCGTTCCCAATCCTTATTGGGCCTTAGAATCATTATGAAATCCCCAACTTTAATTTATAGGTTCTCGGAATCCCTTTTTGGGCTGTTATCTGATAAATTGCCGATACCGATAATTTAGCCCGTTTGACCAACCGGTCACCCTTGTGCCATTGTCATGGCCCAATTAGGATATCCACCACCATATACATATTATCTAGTCCAAGATTAATATAATATGTGGTCCCGATAATATTGGGCGGCCCCACATCCGGTGCGGGCCCCACGTGAATTTTACTATTCACGTAATAGAAATGATAAAAATTTACAATCACGTAAAAATGCTTTTATACATTTCTCAAGGTTCAATACATAATTTGGTACAGTACAAATACTCGGGGGCGGTGTTACATCATATTAGGCAATTGTGTTGCCCTCTCGCGTATGTCAAGGTCCAAGGCATCCCAGAAATGGTTCACCATCCGGTTATCATCACAAATGTACTCCGGTATGAACTCAGCAAGTTTTCTGAACTTGTGCTCAAGTTCCTTCACCGTACATTCACCTCCTTGGGTCAAATTCGTGTACTCCCTCCTCTTCAAGTTCACCTCGAAGTCGGAGTAGTATTGGCTGAAGAACTCCTGTCTGAAATTCTCCCAAGTGACGGCCTCACCGTACTTCCCTTTTGTTCCATCCCACCATGTGGACGCCATGCCTTCTAGTAGCCTCGTGGCTACCCTCACCTTCATGTGGGGTGGTAGTTGCATGTCGAGGGCCGCCTCGTTGAATCTTTTGATCCACTCGGCCACCACGGAGATGTCCCCCGTTCCATCACACGGTTTACATCCCAAGTCTCTTGCCTCCTTGAGGTACTTTGAGATCCTTATTATAGGGACCTCAGCACCTCCCCCTCCTCAGGATTCTATGATCTCCCGGGGAGTTACATGGCTTCCTCTTCTTGAAGCCCCTTCCAAAGCACGTCTTGCCCGGCGCCTTTGGCGATCTTGGTGGTATTGCCGGAGCAATTCCTCAATCCGTTCGAGAGCTTCATTATCATCGCTCTCGTCACTTGCATCATCGTATTCCCCATCATATGGGGTCTCAACCGGCTCAGTTCCCGGTCGGTAGGTTGAATCCTCCTCGGACTCATAGTGCTCGTCGATAGTTTCCACATGACCGTCACTAACGGTCAGCGAGTGGCCTGCACGGCCTGGTCTCCTAGACACCCTCTATCCTCCCCGACTGCCACGTTGGGATCCTCCCGGTGCTTGGCCAGTCGGGTTCCGTCGAGTAACCTTCCCGGTACGTTCCATTTCTGAAAGAAATTTAGAATGAGTCATTAGACTCGTATCAAATGTCAATTGACGGATAGGCACTTAAAGACATCTTTTGGCTCAAATCACCGCCATACCAATTGCTAAGGGTACCATCTTAACAATTAGAGACATTGCAACTCAAGTACCAAAAGTTCTATAAGTACAAAACCTTATGCTCATGGTTTTCAAATTCGTTTTCAAAAAGAAATTTTGAAGCTTCATTATGATGTTTACGGACTAAGGCTCTGATACCAATTAAATTGTCACGCCCCGGACCTAGCCGGACACGTCAACAACCCGCCGTACAGTACGAATAGTCAACCGTAGTCCAACTCATCCATACTATACAAGGCGTCATGAATATCATTCACACATAGTACATCCATAAACAAACATAATGTAAAACATGCATTTAAAGTAGCGGAAGCGTTAATACAATTGTTCAAGCCACACTTGGCATAACTAGGCATACAAGCCCCCAAAGTAATTATTAATAAAATAGTATCCATGAGCATTGTTATAATTGTTTTGAAAACAGGAAACAGAAGAAGCACGAACCACGTCTTCTCCCTTGAAAATCCCCGAAGCAACGGGCGCCGGTAGCAACCTTCAAGTTCTACCTGAAACTGTGAGGTGGCCTCCCCCGTGAAGGGGAGGTCAGTACTTGGAAATATTTGACAAGTACAATAGCAACTATACTAAGTATAATCAACGTTTAAATTTCCAAGACCCTCAAAATAGGGTGATATCATAATATAAATAATAATTTATATTTCCCACTTATTATCTTTATAATAAGTAAATTTATTTATTTGTCGGCACACGGCCCTTCTTAGATATCCTTTTTCATTTATCATTTTGCACAACCCAGCCCTTGGGTCCTATTATTTCTACGGGACTTGCTACCGCTGTCCGAGACCTCATGAGGCTCCCGGTTCGGACTCCAACATCCCGCCCCTGGACTCGTACCCATCATCCCGTAGGAAGGTAAGGCCCTTCGGGGTCCTATCTTATGTGTTACCGCTACCGGAACCTAGTTAGGTCTCCGATTCGGATTCCACCCTAACCCGTGATCACGATGTAAGTCCATGCTATCCAACCCCGCTCTCTAGAGTCGGGAAGGGCCATGGTCCTTACTATTTCCATAATTCAACCGGCTATCCACAAGGACTACCGAACACACCCGTAGGCCAATCCTATACTTAGGATCAATTTATTATTTACTTTATCTTGGGTATCCCTTAAGGCCTACCCCTAGTATAACTTAGAGTTCATACTTTCCTACCTTAAAGCATCTCTTAAGACTACTCAAGGCATAACATTTCAAAATCCAACCTTAGGACCAATCTTAACAACATTTCATTTTAATGTCCAACTAGTATCTTAAAGGTGAAAGCCGGGCGGCTTTGGTGAAAGGTATTAAGAGTGGAAAATCTGGAAATTTAGTGAAAGCCGGGCGGCCTTGGTGAAAGGTGGGCGGCTTTCGGGCCTGCAGCTCGAAAACAGTCCCCTACAATGGCGGTTTTCCGACGATTTCGACTCCTATCGATTCACCAACTCTTCTAAGTTAAATATCACCACTTTATATCAATATTCTACACCTTTAAACGTGTAGAACATCATGTTTAATCCCTCATATGATTTCTCAAAAATCATGCACCAAAAACTAGTTAAAAGAACTATTTGAATTCTTACCTTTCTTTTAACTTAGTTTCTCTTGGGTTTCCTTCCTCCTAGCTTTCTCCAACTGTGGCTGAGGTTTGTAGAAGTCAACTCCAGAGCTTCCTCTCTCTCTTGAGGTTAAGCTTGTGCGGGTGAAATGGAATGGGGGGATATCTTCTCCTCAATCAATTTGAGGGATGATTGAGGGAGTAAGACAAGGGAGTTAATGGGTGGGTGTAGACTTTGTCTCCATGAGGCTTCCTCATGCACGCCCCTCCCCCTCAAATTGTCAATCTGGTCACCTAAAAACGTGGGGTGCCCCCCCCCCCCCCTTATGTGGGAGGTCATCCCATTATGTCCCGGTGTGTACAATCGGCCCCGAAAGTTGTATTTCTCGGTCCGTTTTAATTATATTTTATTTTATCGGGCCAAACAAAATATATCACGTGATCCTAATAATTATGGGCTTTTAGAATAGATGTACATTCCCCAACATTAATTTAGGAGCCTCCGAAACTCATTTCGGGCTGTTATCCGCTAAATTACCAATACCGGTAATTGGGCCTCGTTTGACCAACCGGTCAACTCCATGCCTTTCTTATGGCCCAAATAAAATATTCACCACCATATACATATTATCTAGACCAAGATGAATATAATATGTGGTTCGGGAATTATCGGGCGGTCCCTGTTCCCGCTGTGGGCCCCACATGCAATTTACTATTCACGTAAAAGAAATAATAAAAATTTACAATTACGCAAATTCATAAATCATCTTTCAAGGTTTATTACATAATTTACTAAAAGTAAATATGCTCGGGGTCGGTGTTACATATGTTTTTCGATCACTTTATCTGTTTTTATTCATTTCATGTACAACAATGCAATAGATATTCATTTTTTATCGACCACCAATTTTTAATATGTCACTTTTATTTTTGTAGGGAAATGAAACAAATCTCGAAGTTGAAGACGTGTTGTGGACTTGAGCTGCTTATTTATTTTTTGCTTTGGAGATAAATTATAAAAAATGATTTAAACCGAGAGTTTTATATTGGAGATTTGTTTCGTATATCAGTTCTAGTCTATGCAGTCATGTATTTGTTAACACCACTGTATTCTCGTATTTCTATTATCTTCTTCAATTCAAAACTTAATCTATTTATGGATTTTTTATTATGATCATAGAGTTTAGAAAATTATTTTCAGTTATGGTTTTCGGTTAACCGGTTTGTGTTTAACCGAAGTTTTGGTTAACCGAAGTATCAGTTAACCGAAGTAACCAGTTTCGCGGTTAACCAGAAAGTTGGTTAACCAAAACCCGGTTAACCAACCATGCCCACCCCTATAAAAACCCAAGAAAATCCTCCTTCCACGATGTCAATGCTTCTTGGCCCTCCGGAACTCTACACCTCACCTTCTTCTGCTGCCGCCCCGCCGGAAAGTGATCTCTGACTCCTTCATGCATCTGATGCTGAAAGGATTCAACGCAGCTGGAAACAGTGTCATGGGAAAGCCGGTGATGGGCAGGACGGAGAACGAATCGCACACCTATATCTCTCCACCGGAAACCCGTGCTTAGACTTCTTCTATCACGTCGTCCCGGACACTCCGGCTGGCACCATCGACGACTTGCTTCAGAACTCGTGGGCTCACAATCCCCTGACGACGCTCAAACTCATCTGCAATCTCCGGGGAGTCGGCGGCACCGGAAAATCGGATAAGGAAGCCTTCTACGCGTCCGCACTGTTGCTTCACTCGCATCACCCAAAATCCCTAGCTTGCAATTTGGAGGGAATCGCGAGATTCGGCTACCTCAAGGACTTGCCGGAGATTCTCTACCGACTTCTGGAAGGCGGTGACGTTCGTCAGAAGGAGCAGCGACGTTACCGGAGGGAAGAGAAAAAGATCAAGTACATACGTTTTGGCGGGAAGAAGAAGAAGCTTAATAAAAAATAACAGAAAAAGAAGAGGATGCTTTTGACGGAGGACCAAAAGGAAGCAAAGACATTAACGATCCAGAAGAGGACGGAAGAGGAGAAGGCGAAGGCGAAGCTCAAACGAGAATCGAAGAGGATCGAGAAGGCCAAAAAGGTCATCGAGAGATACAATCGCGACGCCGATTTCAGATACTTCCACGATCGAGTCTCAGATCTATTTGCGCAGTTTCTTAGGAGAGATTTGGAAACCCTAAAACAGGGGTCTTCTCTGAATCAGCTCAGTCATTCCGCAATGCGGTGCCCACCTCTAGGTTCATCCTTCGATGGATCCACTCTGTTATGCGAAAGCATCTCTAGGAAGCTTTTCCCGAGAGAACAGTATGCCTACCGCGTGAGGGATCGTTTGAGGAAGGAATTCCTCGTCCCTCTCCGTGATGCTCTCAAATCGCCGGAGGTCTCAAAGGATTGGGATATTCTCCTCCCTCACCAGATCGCCAAATCACTTTCCGACGACCATGGAGGTGCGCTTGCAGATTTACTGTGGAACAGAATGGTGAACGAATTGAGCAGCAATGGAGTGAAGAAGCTTAAGAATTGTCTCGCAGTCTGTGACGTTTCTTTTGCCCTGGATTGGAAGGATATGCCTGCGGCTTCATTAGCTGCATGTTTGGCTCTCGGCGTCCTAGTTTCGGAATTGAGCGAGGAGCCGTGGAAGGGGAAGCTCATCACCTTCAGTGAAAAACCACTACTTCACACGATCAAGGGAAACAACATTCTGTGCAATGTAGATTTCGTGAAAAACATGGAAATAGAATATACCAAAGATTTTCAAAAAGTAATCGACATGATCCTGGAAGTGGCGGTGAATGGGAATCTGAGGGAAGACCAGATGATCAAGAGGCTGTTTGTGTTCAGTGACATGGAGTTCAATGAAACCCCGTCATTTACCCCGGAAACGGATTACCAGGCGATGGAGAGGAAGTTCCGGGAGAAGGGGTACTGGAACTGTGTGCCGGAGATTGTTTTCTGGAACTTGAAAGACTCGAAATCGACGCCGGTTTTAGGGAATCATAAAGGAGTGGCGTTGGTTAGTGGGTATTCACAGAATTTGATGAAGGTGTTCTTGGAGAAGGAGTTTATTACTCATCCTCTTGCCGTCATGGAGTTTGCCATAATGCCATTTCAGGAGATGAGTACAAAAACCTTGTGGTAATTGATTAATTTCGACTTTATAAGAAGGATCCTTACTCCTGAGTCTCTCCTTTGCTTAGTAGTAAGGTAGGGTATCTAGCTTTTGGGGAGTTTTGCAATTCTCAGTGCAAATATTGCAAAAAGACAGGAGATGGTTTACGCGTATGAAAAAAGAAATTCCGAAAGGTGTTTCCTGATTTAATAATACTACGTAATATTTAAAAAAGTTGATCGAAATGCCAATGGGTATCCTGCTACTAGGAGGTGAAGGACACGCAGTTCGCTCACCGTTAGTGCCGCCGGGAGGCTCGGAGTATTGCCGTGTAGTTGCTTTGAGGTTGCCTTCGGATGACTTCTAGTTCAACCGAAAGCGGGTGAAGGTGCCACTTACTATCTGCTAGCTGCCGTGGGAGGTTTCTTGTACCGCTGGAAGTAACTTTTCGGACGACGTTCAAACTTGCTCCTCATTGTTGACCGATTGGCGAGAGAACAACGGTGAATGTGCGGAAAACATTTTTGGAAGGTGATGGCGTGATTGATCCTCTTGTCATAATGGAGTCTCCCATTTCTGGGGGAGTGTATAAAAATCTTGCGGTCTTTGATTGATTTGATCATCCAAGTATAAATAACATGGGAAAAAATTGCTCAACAACATTAGGATTGACAAGGATTGTGGATTTGGAAAAATCCATTTCTGCCCCGAGCGGCCGAGCCAGCTACATATCTTTCAAGCTATTTTAAAGTGTCACAATCTTTCTCCCTAACTCTTTGAAAAACAGATAACTGTCGTCAATAAAAAAGATACTCTGGAGGGCTCCTTTTGTCACAGATATACCCATTATGTTACCTATCCTTTCCTAGCACCTTATCAATGCACCTAGCCCCCTTTCGCCACTAAAATGAAAAGGAAAGGTGAAAGAGAGTCACCTCGCCTTAAAAGAGTTTCTTATTAGAGTTTTTGTCACTTTTACCCTCCGACTAATATGTAGTGACACTTTTAATTGTCGATTTTGATTTTTCGCTTTTAGTCATTTGACTATTTTGCAAGAGAAGTTTTTGGTAATTGCCTTTGAAACTTTAGTAGTCAAGTACTAAAAGTGTATCTCTCATAATTATGGGTGGACTCGGGCTGGGTCAGCCGGGGTCGGGCCTAGGTCCGAGTGGGCCGCCGGTTCTGAATAGGTGGGCCCGGGACTGGCCTGGGTAGCCACCGGTTCCGGGCCGGGCCGGTTCCGGCCTCAAGTCATTTTTTTTTCCTTTTCCTATTTAACCCCCCTCCCACCCCCAACCCCCAAATCACCCCAAATGGCCCAAAATACCCAGTCCAACCCGAAAAAGTTAAAAAAATTGAAAAAATAAATAAAAAATAAATAAAAAATCCCGGAATCGGGCCCGAATCGGCCGAGCCGGTTCGACTTTTGGGTGACCCGAGCCCGCACCGGGAACCCCCCACGCCGGGCCTACCCGGACCGGTCACAAGACGGGCCACTGGGCCGGGCCGGTTCAGCACAGTACCGGTCCCGGGCCGGTTCCGGGTCGGACCACCCGGGCCGAGTCCATCACTACTCATAATATATGAATAAGTAATAGTGGGAAAAATCAAAGTTCAGTGCGAAAAGTATCACTTTGGGGAATGGGGATGAAAAGTACAAAACAGCTCTTAAAATTAACAAGCAAGAGCGGTTTTACAGTTGCATTCCAATATCTTAGCTTTATAGTTGGATTTTTAATGTAATATATTAATTATTCAATAATTAAATGTATTTGGTAATGGCCATTTTAGTTCAAACTTTTCTTGGCTAATTTGCTTGCGGAGTTAGGCTAGTGGGCTTAATATAGTTTTAAAATTTACGAGCAAGTCACTAATCGGAATCATTGTAAATCCTCTTCTTTACTTTAGCCTCCTACTCGATTGTAGTGTTCATGTATGTGAAAGACTAGCAAGTCTGGCATTAAATATAGGCAAAAATTATCCCGGTAGAATTTTTAAAATTATCCCGGTAGAATTTTTTGCCATCGACCGTTCTGACATTTTGTAAATCTATTATAATATAATGATCAAAAAAAAATCTATTATAATATAATAGTCTATTACTCCATCCGGTCCTAAATAAAATTCACACTTTTCTTTTTGGGTCGGTCCAAATTAGAGTTCACACTTCTTCTCTCTTCATTATTTGGCAAATAATCTACATCAAAACAGTATCAAACAGTGTTACAACAATTTGTGTGAAGTCAAACACTGAATCTTATTTAGGACCGAAGGGAGTATACTATAATAGCAAAAGAAGTCTTCTTGAGAAAGTTCACGCCCAAAGTTAGAAGATTCCAGAATCATGATTACAATTTTACAACAGTAGCATTTCAATAAATTTACACATCGGCAATCCGCAATTACAAATGTAGCAAAAAAGTACAGCACAACGGTTCCACTTTTGATAATGCGCCTGATTGGGTGTTTTGTAGGCAACTTCACGTCTCCAAATGTATAGCATTTAATGCATCTGTATGTTTAGCTTTATGAGATCTGAATCAAAACCCTATATAAATCTATGTAAGAATCGGATCGGTGAGTGACTCGGACAAATGACTGGGTCACGGGTCAACTCGGACCCGGCGGGTCAACCCGGTCAATGACCGGCAAAACCCGGTCAACGCAAATACATATAATTATATAAATAATTAAATTCATAAATAGAAAACTTATATCCCTTCATAATTAAATATTTATAATATAATGTAAGTACCGTAAAAACAACTATTGCAATAAAGTACATTGACTTTAACACACAACTTAAAATACATTTGTGTATAGGTGGATGATAAATATGAAACATTATACAAATTATAAAATAAATAAGAAAAATAAAGATGCCATACATAATGAGGATTGAGGAATTATATAAATAGCATTTCTTTGTATGTATTATAAATTGTAACTCCGTATTATAATTAGTTCATTATAAATTGTAATGTATATAGAAGAATAGCTAAGCGACTTAATTTCACCAAGTAGATGGCGTAGCTCAGTGGTCGGGAACATAGCTAGGGCAGAGCACAGGTTGGGTTCGGGCGGGTCGGGTTCAAAAATGGTGAACCCATTCGGGTATCGGATTGATAATTTCAAACCCTACCCTATCAAAAATTTTATCGGGTTTTTCGGGTTGAAGAAGTTCGGGTAGCGGTCGGGTTGATTCGGTTTTCGGGTCCATTCGAATTTTAATTTATAATTGTTGAAATTGTGATAAATAAAATGGTAATTGGTAAAAATATCATTCAAAGTTATACTAGTATAACATTCAAAGCAATAGTTGTATAAATACGGTAATCAACATATTTGAGTATGTAAAATAATAATATATGGTGATTGACATATTTGATATTGTAATAAATAAAATGATAATTGGTCAAAATATCATTCAAAGTCATAACAATACAACATTCAAAGTTATAGTTGTTGTACAAATACGTTAATTGGAATATTTGAACATGCATAATATGGTAATTGACATACAATAATTGAGATATTTGAACATGAATAATAATTCAAAGTAGTATATATACTACGCTAGTTCGGTTTTTCCGGGCGGGTGAGGTAGCATAATTGGTAACCCTACCTGCTACCCGCTTAAGTCTCGGGTTGCAAGAATCAGATCGGGTTTGGGTATTTCGGGTTGGGTTTTCTGACCTCAACAAAAAAAATCGGATATATCCGATCAGGTCAATCGGGTAGGGTCGGGTTTGCTCTCCCCTAAACATAGTTGTACTGCGGTTGGCGTGAGTTCGATTTTCGAAGGCTACGTAGTTGTCCTGATTTTGGAATTTTCCGAGTTTGGAGCGGGTTGGGTCCGTCGCGGGTCTCACCGGGTCGCCCGTTAGATCCGGTTTTGACCACATTTACGGTTTAATCCCCAATCGGACCGAATAATTGGCCGGTTGACCGGGTTCCGGGTCGGACCGGGCGATCCGGTTCGGGTCTTACAACATAGGATAGAATGAGATCAGCAAATCAGTTTTCAGTCTAAGATAATCTGACTCAAGCAAAATTCAGAATGACTTTGTATACTTAGACAAAAGAAATGGACAAAAGCAGAAAAAATTGGGGTCTGAGCTATACAAATCTCCCATGATCCGGAGGTATGTTTTAGATTTGAAACTTCCAATATTAAAATTTGTTATTCGTGTATATTAGATTTGCTACTAGCGACATTTTATTGTCATGATTAATAAAGTTGAACCACATTTAGCGAAACCCAATCAAAAAAGATTTGTGAATTAAATTTGTACGTGATCCAGATAATTATATAAAAAAAGAACTTGATAGTATACAAAAAGATTTTCCATATTGGAGGTACTTGATTAGCACTAATTTAAATTCCTATTTTTAATTCTTGCGGAAGAGAATATTTAGATATATGAGCTAAAGTAAAAAGAACAAGCTATTTGTTTTAAATGTCTTAAAATGATTTTGAAGATAAAGAAAAATGGTGTTATGTAGTGTTATATAAATAAGTATATACAAATGTTAGTAGCAACTTTGATTTTGTTTAGGAAGCAAGTTTCATGCATCTGATATTTGTGATACAATGTAAATACAATTTCCTTTTAAGACATGGGGACACTAAAAAGAGTCACTGATTTTTACAAATCTTTTCATAGGGTAGAATAACATAAAAATAACTGATTCTAAAAATATATGTGTTCTCAATGGGATATACTGAAATAAATAAGTATGAATAAACATTATGAATCAGTACTTATCTTTTCTTTACCTGGGATAGGTAGAAAACAAACGAATAACATATTGCATGTTATGTGAAAGTAAAACGGTGGTTTTATTCAAAACATGTAGCTACATACCATCTCTTGTTTCCATAACCTATATACTATCGTATAACATAAATAAACAATAGAAATATAGAATCATGGGCAGCGCTTTTTTTCGGCAGAATTGTGCGTAACGGGAATCCTTCATAAGTAAGGGGTGTTTGAAACTGATTCTGATTCTGCTTCTTTTTTAAAGCAGAAGCAGAATCAGTTTTCAGAAGTTGGTCACCCCAGGGCCGATCTTAAGAGTTTTTTGGTCTGAGTCGAGCTGTAAAAAAAGGCTCTCAAGAATTTTTGGGGAGGAAAGTTCATGTCCGGAATTCCGGAGAGGAATCGCCATCCGGACGGCGGCGTTTGGGTGCCCTCCTGGTGGAATTTTTTGATGAAATTTTTATTTCATGTTTTTCATCAAGTCTAGTTTATCCACAAAAAATGTCGGCTAAAAATTCGATCGGGAAGGCCGTCAAATGGTTTTTTAAAGACAACTGGGCCAAAATATACACATAAAACGCAGTTAACTTCCAAAAAAAAATTGACAGTCCTCCCGGTTGAATTTTAAGCTGAATTTGTTTGTGGATAAACTAGACTTGATAAGGAACATGCCATTAAAATTTCATAAAAAAAATTCACAGAAAAAGCAGCCAAAGGCGGTATTTCCTGTCCGGAATTCCGGACATGAACTTTCTTCTATATAAAGGTAACTAATAAAGTTTTGCGGCCCTATATTTTTCCCCAAATTTGTGGGCCTGAGGCAGTTGCCTCTTTGCCTCACGTAGAGGTTCGGCCCTGGGTCACCCCCTGCTTCTAAAAAAACTGATTCTAGAAGAAAATTAGAGCACCAGAATCACTTCTGCACTTTTACCCAAACACTCCAACTTCTGCTTCTGCTCCCTGAAGAAGCAGAAGCAGTTTTAAGAATCAAATCCAAACACCCCTAACATGCTTTCAAAATACCAACAGAGAGGTTGAAAGTATTGGGTACAGATCACATTAAATTAAAAGGAATTGTAAAAGAGTGGGTTGGAGATAAAAAATCATCAAACTTTTAAAATTGATGACGTGACAAAAATTTTTAATGCAAAAAATAGTAGCATTAGAGATGCTCTTACATCGATGAGCAGTTCCTGTTATTTGTAGCTCAGACAATATAACACCATAATTAATTAAATTCAATGGCATCACCTCAAACACCATTCTCCAGCAGCTCAAATTTACTATTCTCATGCGTACTTGAATTGGCTAATCTGCAAGTAAAATGAAATGCGTCAACAGCAAGCACGCAGGACAGTCACCGAAGCTAAAAGAGAGGCAGGGGTCCAAAGAAGAATAGAAGAATAGAAGAAAACTTCTACATTGGGCTGCACTCAAATATTTTTGCAAAGTTATTATGCAAAGAACCTGTGCAGTATGATTTTAAAAATGAGGAAAATAAAAACAGTAGTAACACACAACTATCAATCACAATTTTATAATGTGAGCCCGGAAAAGATTACTACCATACCACAATGGCAAGTGATGGAATAATCACCCAAATTAATTGTGGGAATTCAGAACATGAACTTTAGCTAGATGCAGAGATTGGATATTATTACCATTGCTGTCCTGGTGCCAACCTCACGAAAGTCAAACTTCTATCTTCTTTGAATATGCAATGATAAGCCTTGGCCTGAAGAGTCTTCACCTCTCCTGAAATGGTGTCTTTGGCAAGGATGGTTATATAGTAATTGAAACCACAACAAGCTCCATAGTTTACTTTCTTGATCCGCACTAGTTCCAACTTTGCATTCTAAAATTCCCACACAAAAATTAGTTGGTTCATGAAATTAAGAAAAGAACAGAATTGATCTGATCCTAAGTTTCAAAAGGCACATAGAAGAGACTTAGGTTTCAATAGTCAAGGCGCTAGGCGCAGAGAGCTGAGGTCTAAGGCGCAGAGGCACATAGAAGAGACTATATTTCACTGCCTCACTATGCAGTGTGCTTTTTTGAACTACGTGCTTCTCCTCTACCGGAGTTCTAAGTTGGGCAGGGATTGTGCTGGTGAAGCCTTGGACGATTTCAAAATCTACACAATCGGGCCCATGTCACTGAATGACATACCGTTTGTTTCAATGTTTGGTTCAGATATTTTAGATGGGAGGGAAGATATAGAGTTTCTAAACTATTTCTCCATTTGAAAGGTCAAAGGTATAGTGAAAATAAATAACGATATACAAATACAGGGACCAACTAATCATGTACCTATTTTAGTATTTCTCATTAAACAACTAACAAATATAGGTGAAATAGTAAAATAATAATCGATCCTTCTATTCACAGAAATCAACAAACCAAGCAAGCTCAGAGAAAAGATACAGATTGACAAGAGAGCGGGGGAAATATATTACTATAAAGAATTACTATGTAGCACATACGTTATCAGCATTGTACTGATCAATGGCCATGGAGGTGTAATCCTTCACGGAGCTATAATGAGATGGATACTCATCGTCGTCCTCTGAATCCTCCTCTAAATCCTCCTCTGAATCCTCCTCTAAATCCTCCTCAGAATCCTCCTCCACATACCCCTCCAAAGCCTCCTCCGTATAGAGTGGATGTACTGCGCCAAATTTGATACCATCTGGTACAGGGGGGACATCGAAACCCTAACAACACGGTAAAACTGAACAATTGCGGAACAAAATAATCTATTTTTAAGATACTATAATTGACAACCGTATAACAAAAGGAAAGGACAGAGCACGCTGATAGGTCACCTGTGACTCAACGAACCGTCTCATGTACACCTTCGTCTCCTTCCAAGCTTCTTCACTCTCAAACTCGCTCCTGCTTCCGGCAAGATCCTCACTGTTGAAACTTTCTGCGTCGTCGTCTCCGTCGCTTTCCAGTATTTCATGTGACACCGGTGGTATTTCCTCGTTCGATACGGTGCTATGGTTGCTATCATCGCTTGTTTTTCCATCCAAAGATGATGGATCAAAATTCGAGAAGTTGAATGTTTTTTCTCCGCCGATGAAATCTGTGTTCAGCATATCCATGGACGAACTCCACACGTAGAAGCCAAGGAATTGGAATTCCAAAAGTCTCGTACCTTTCTAAAAAATGGAGTACGGTATCTATCATTTATTTTATTGGATCACATCACTTTATCATTTTTAATTTAGATTTAAATAATTCAACTACTACATTCTTATTGGTCCATTTGGACAAAGGTATGGTACCTTATGAGTACCATAGAATATACCTTCTAAAATATGTGGGTGTCTAATTTATTAGGGTGTACAGCTGTCAAAAGGCCAACCCGGCCCAATCATAACGGGTTATGTTTTATGTGGGTCGTGTGAGGTCAACCCGTTTAGTAATGGGCCATAATTTTTAGGGAAAGTTCTCAAAATAGGACTAAAACGGTTTGAAAATTAAAAAATGGAACCGTCATGTTATTTATTCTCAAAATAGTAGTAATTACTACTAAATTTAGAAAATATTGTCATGTTTGAAGTCTGGTACTGCCAAACATGTCATTAATTAGTCCTATTTTGGGAATAAAAACATGACAGTTCTATTTTGAAATTTTCAAACCTTTTTAGTCTTATTTAGGGCAATATTCTCTAATTTCTACAACCCTAATCCGACCTACCTAACTCATGGATTAAATGGGTTGGTCCGCGGCGCGGGCCAATGTAAAAATACTACTCCCTCCGTCCCGTTGGAATGTTCCCATAGCAACGCAAAACCCCAAAGGCCAGAAACAGCGACTTCAGCCATCTTCGGTCGCTGCCGGACAGACACTCAGCCAGGACGGCGCACGGTGGCTCAGGCGACAGGCGCTCAGCACTCGAGTCTCGGACGGCTCATGGCTCAGTCCTAAGCAGGGGCGGATTGGGCAGCTCCCAAGTGCTTAAGAGGTATTTTTTTAAAATCTTTTAATTTTATTATGTTTTTAATTCAAGTTAATGACTAAATTACAGCTTTGCTTGATATGAATTTGATTATTATTTCTAAACTTGTAAATCATTTATAGTATGAATTTGCTTGTGACTCTGATGACTTATTTTATCTGTTTAATCTTCTTTTTATTTTGTTTAACAAATTTCCCTAGCAAACTAGCAAGCAGAACATGGATTTAGGTGGTAAATCCATTGTTATATCAGACCCTCTGCTAATCTGTTTTCATATCCTACTATTTATTGTACTTCTTATTTCATTACTTGGTTTGGGATGCGGGGAGTTCTCATTAGTTAGGCTCTTCAAGTAATTATTGTGGGAAAGGAAGGGATAAAATGATATCATTATCAAACGATATCAATCGATGAAAACCCGTAGAGAACAATTGTAAAATTATGGTGTTTTTTTATTTGACTTTAATGAAAACTCTTATTCCTATAATCTTTATTTTTGTCTTTGACTTTGTTGGTAGAATAAATGTTTTTTTGAATATTCATTTTTAATTAAATTTTGGCCCCACCTGGATGCCAAAGCTAGATCCGCCCCTGATGCGGCACCCTGCTCTTTATACCTGTCATCAACAACCACCTACATGCATGACAAAATATGACTGACTCAAATTAGTAAATGTAAATACTTATTCAACCTAGCTAATTAAGTGTGTAAAGATAAACCGTAGTCATTTTCTATTTTTTCAAATTCTAAGTAACCTAATCGCAATTTACCTCTGCAAAGGATATCTCTTTCAATCGCGAGTATGACTTTCCAGAACTGGATTGCCTAATAAGCTTTCCATAGCCTTTATGGCCCCAAGAGCTCCCGTAGGAATTCTTCATAAGCTTTCCATAGCTTTCCATTGCCTAATAAGCTTTCCATAGCCTTTTGTTGTGCCATAGCCAACTATAAGAACGGCATGCATGTCAGATATGCCTGAAGGGGGAGTGGCTGTTTCCCTGATTTCGCTTTTCCCTTTTTGGAGGACTTTTTTTCTCGGCGACTGATATCCTTCGTACATCACGCCCTATGAAATAGCAACAAAAATGAATAATAAACAACAAAAATACAACCTTCAAGAATGTTCAATCAGTGAATTTTTTGGTGCAAATGCTGAAAAAGAACTGGCAAAATATCATGTAATTTAAGGTTCCTATATCTTAAGACTACAATGGGAAGTCCTGTACTTCGTATCTTTTAATTTGTGCTCTGTGTATTCTTTAATTAGTTAAGTTCTTCCTACGTACCGTGAGAATTTTGAAAGTTGTAATTAGTAGGAAGTACTCAGAATTTTAAATCGGTCTTTGTACTGCCGTTTTCCAAGACTATTACGGAATACGTAGAACTTTTTACAGCATCTAGCAATTTGTTTAATACTTTATCTATTACTAATACGTATTTTCTCTCAAAATTCAAAAATATTAATTAATTGTTATAGATAGGATTAATAAAGTGCAAAAAAAATTCTCTACTTAATACTTTATCTATTACTACGAATGAAGAGCATGGTGGAATTGAAGATCTGAGGGTACGGGATCAACAAAAACCGAAGATAAAATGGAGCAAAAATGCAAAAGAATATAAGAAGAGGAGGACAATCACTCTTATAATGATGTGGATGTGGAGAAACATGACAAAAAATGGGGAAGAGACGAGTTGCATGTCAGTAGTTGTAATTCCAATCAAGGATTTGAATCTATGCCATCGATTAATCTCGCTCATTTTATATACTTGTAGTATTTTCTATGTCTCGTCAGGTAGTGAGGGGAGATGTTGGCTATATACGGTCTAGAGAAGAGACTTGATTTATTATGAATGTTGAGGTGTTAGGTTCTATGAATTTAATACAATATAAGCTTTTTCCTCCGAAGAAAAGATGAACCTCATTATAAATTATCGTCACCTATCCTTAAATGGACAGGATAGGCCCTCTCGGTAGAACCGTAGTACTACGTAAGGAAAAAAATATATAAAAAAGGTTAAATTGTTGCCTCTCGGAGTCTCGGTAGAACCGTAGTACTAAAAAATGTGTATACTTTTAGGGTAAAAATTCGTGTAAATTTTTTTCCAAAAATATTATTCGTTAGTGTAGTGGGTGAATTTTTTTCCGCTAGTGTAGTGGAGCGAAACTTTTTTTCGCTAGTGTAGCAGGGCAATTTTTTTCAATAGTATAGTGCTTTGCGGCAAATTTTTATTCAAAAAGAATTCATAGGTACATACATGATGACATTTAAATATATTACATTCTAAGTTTAGACAATGGAAAAATAACTTTGATTTTATAATTGTAAGTGCTTTAGAAAAAAGTATTGATACATTAAAGTGTAAGAAATAGCAAATCAAAGAAAAAATATTTGAAAATAAAAGAGGATATATAACATTTTATCAAATTATTTAAAATTAAAGAGTTTAAAAGGTGTACAACCACCAAGGCATCAATGCTTTTTAAATAACTCTTGCCATGTTTAATCACATGAATCTTAGCGGTACAAGGAATTGATTTTTGAATTGCAAATTTTGTTTACCAAAAAGAGTGTTCCGACAATCACTCTTATAATTATGTGGACGTGGAATGACAAAAAATGGGGAAGAGACGAGTTGCATGTCAGTAGTTGTAATTCCGGTCATGGATTTGAATCTATGGCATGATCAGCGATTAATCTCGCTCATTTTATATACTCGTAGTATTTTCTATGTCTCGTCCGGTAGTGAGGAGAGTTGTTGGCTATATACGGTAGGAGACTTGATTTATTATGAATGTTGAGGTGTTAGGTTCTATGAATTTAATACAATATAAGCTTTTTCCTCCGAAGAAAAGATTAACCTCATGTTCAACCGTAGTACTACGTAAGGGTGTATATTATATGGAGTGTAATTTTATAACACATTAATGTATATATAAAACTGGTTAAATTGTTACATGTCCCTTGTATGTCACGAATTCTTCATCAATATCTATAGTAGCAACCACCGGATGGTGTGCTAGTGTGCTACTAACTCAAGAATTTCCGACTCCGTAATCTCCCCTTCGAACTCTCTTCCCATTTGTGCCGCCTTGTGGAGCTATTATGAACATAACAATAAACAGCCATTATTACAAAAACAACTAATCATTAAAATTTAATTAGTTTATTTTAGTAAGACGGCTAATAGCTTAGAAGTGGAGAATCATATGCATGTCATCATGTGAGAACCATGTACATTTGAGGGAATGAGGGATTGTTGACTAAGTCTAAAACATAAGCAATCATAAACGAACTAATGTGCAAAGTTTAAGAATTTTTTTTTCAAGATTTCTAATACATGCATGCATGTGTGTGTGCGAGTCTATATATGTGTGTGTATTCTTTTTTTGTGGACACACTTGCATTTTTTCTCGGCCAATCCGATTGCCTACTCAAACCTTCAGCTTGATAAAATCTAAATTTATGATATAGTAGTATATTATTAAGAGTGAAACTTAAACAATATCATATGAAGAGAATGGCTTAGAAGCCGTCACTTTATCCCTGCTACATGATGTATATTTATACATATTACAATATGAGTGATAGGAGAGAATACAAATAATAATAATAGTGCATGGTCATGTACTACGTGTACTTACTTAGAGATAGTACATGAGTAGTACAACTAATAATATTAATATTTAAGTATTCTCAATACTCCCCCTCAAGGTGGAGTGTGAAAGTCACGAACACCCAACTTGCTACGGAGTAACTGGAAGCGATTAGTGCCAAGTGCCTTTGTGAAAATATCATCAATCTGGTGTGTGGTAGATATACAACATGGTTGGATTTCACCACTAGCAACACGCTCTCGCACAAAATAACAATCCATTTCTACATACTTGGTGCGCTCATGAAATACAGGGTTAAGAGCAATGTGACGAGCCGCTTGATTGTCACAAAAGAGGGACGTAGGACTAGTCTAGGGAATGGTAAGGTCTTGAAGTAACCATCGCAACCACAAGATTTCACTAACGGTGATAGCCATTGCACGGTATTCGGCTTCTGCGGAAGACCTTGAAACAACAGATTGCTTCTTAGCTCTCCAAGAGACAGGTGAATTTCCGAGAGTGATAAAATATCCAGTGCAAGAGCGCCAAGTGTAGGGGCACTCTGCCCAATCTGCATCACAATAACCCTTTAAGGTGAAATCAGTATCTGCAGATAAAAAATGCCCTGTCCCAGAGTCTATTTTAAATAGCGAAGAACACGTATGGCGGCATCAAAGTGAGTCTGGCACGGCTGACTGAGAAACTGACTAAGCTGACTGACAGAGTAGACGATGTCAGGGCGAGTGACGGTAAGGTATAATAGACGCCCAATCAGTCGATGATATGAAGAAGCATCTACAGGTGGCCTATTATCATCAGGTCGAAGTTTCAAATTTTGCTCCATGGGAAACATACTCGGACGACCAGCTAAGAGACCACTTTCTTCTAGAATGTCAAGCGTGTATTTGCGTTGGCTTAATACAAATCCTTCAGGAGAACGAGCAACTTCAATTCCGAGGAAATATTTTAGAGTTCCCAAATCCTTAATGCTAAATTGATCATCCAGGTGTTCCTTAATTTTCTGGATGTGAGACATTTCATTTCCGGCAAGAATGACATCATCTACATAAATGAGGGCAAAAGTGCGGGTCTGTCCCTGTTGGAAAATCAATAGAGAATGATCTGCCCGATATTGACAAAACCCAACTCGGAGAAGTGATTGGGTAAATTTGTGATACCAATTTCGTGATGCTTGGCGTAACCCTTAAAGAGACTTTTGTAATTTGCAAACACGATCGTATCCATCTTTGATAAATCCTTGGGAACACGCATGTAAACATCCTTAGAAAGATCTCCATGAAGGAATGCATTATTGACGTCTCATTGATGTACTACCCAATTCTGTTTAGCCGCAACGGCCAACAACCACCGTACTGTGACAAGTTTGGCAACAGGTGCAAATGTCTCATGGAAATCAATTCCTTCTACTTGTGTGAATCCCTTGGCAACTAATCTCGCCTTGTAGCGCTCCACATCGCCATTGGGCTTATATTTGATTTTATAAACCCATTTAGAATCAACCACCTTCTTCCCAGGTGGTAGTTTGACTAAGGTCCATGCACCATTTTCTTCTAAAGCATGGATTTCTTTTTGCATAGCCTCTCACCATACGGGATCTTGTACGGCCTGTGAGAATCGTTTTGGCTCGTCGCGGGAAGTAATGGCTGTCAAAAAAAACTTTATGTTTAGTAGAAAATTTGTCATAACTGATAAAATTCGAAATTGGATATACAGTGGCGTCCATTGATTTTGCTGCCGTGTTAGAATGATCAAGGGATGGTGGCAGATCAGTGTCAAATCTTGCAAAATGTTTAGGAATTTGGCGTATTCTATTACTCTTTCTTATCTCACCCATGGAAGGTATGGACTTCATTGAATATGTTAAATCAAGTGAAACATCATTTGGTGGGGATTCCAAATTATGTGGTGCTGTATTATTGTTATGTGAGGAGTGATGCTGGCCGGACGGTGAGTCTTAACAGAAAGTGGGCCTGACCAACCCATATGGATCCAACTTATAATTAGTAACATGTTCGGTGGATGGAGTTTGGCAATGAGTTGACCTAGCATTTTCTTCAGTTATGTCCTCACCATCGCGTCTGGTCAGTCGTATAGGAGTGTCGCAATCTTGTGGAGGGAGATATTGTCTAGGCTGTTGCAGGGGTCTTGGAGGAGGTCGGTGGTCGCTTATAATGTCCAGGTCTTTGCTTGCTAGAGATGAGTTCCCAGGCTGTTGCACAGCAGAGAAGCGACCAGGTTGCTGTTCGCCGGTGAAGTCCTCCGGTTGCTGATCGACGGAGAAGTTTTCACGCCGCTGCTCAATCAAAGAATTATGTTGCTGTTCCTTGGAGATTTCCACATTATTAGCGGGGTCCATTGATGAGAAGTTTCCAGGCTGATGTCCAAATGACAGCCACTTTGGTCCACAACCTTTTGATAGGCACGATCCACAATAGAACAAAAATCCAATCCTTCATGTTCAATTTTCTTAAATGGAAATTCATTTTCAAAGCAGGTGACATCACGTGAACTGTAAATATCATGTTTTTGCAAATCAAAAACTCTATAAGCCTTTTGACCATAAGGATATCCAAGAAAAATACAAGGACTCCCCCGTTCGTTGAATTTATCTTTATAATTATTGTTGTGTGCATATACCAAACAACCAAAAACACGTAAATGTCCAAAATTGGGCTCTTTCCCAAACAACATTTCATAAGGACTTTTATTTAAAACGACGTGTGACGGTAGCAGATTGATGATATAAACAGCGGTGAGAATGCACTCTCCCCAAAAATCAATGGGTAACCCGGACTGAAAACGAAGGGCCCTTGCAACTTCTAAAATATGTCTGTGCTTACGCTCAACAACCCCATTTTGTTGAGGAGTATCTGTGCACGACGTTTCCAAAATAATTCCTTGACGTTTATAAAATTCAGATAAAATATTGGTTTGAAACTCCATTCCATTATCTGAACGTATGCGTTTAACTCGCTTGTCAAATTGATTTACTATCATGTTGCAAAATTGTATCAATTTTTGACAAACTTCACATTTATTTTTCATGAGATAGACCCAAATACCTCGGGTGAAATCAGCAACAATAGACAAAAAATAGCGTGCTCTTGATGTAGAATCACATCTATAACCTTCTCAGATATCACAGTGTATTAATTCAAAACAGCAAGTGGTCTTACTTGTACTTTTAGGGAAGGAGAGACGAGTTTGTTTGGCTCGCAAACATGGATCGCAGAAATTACTGTTGTGACGGAAGCCCTTAAGAAATGTGATGTATTGTAATTTTCCATCTGAAGCATGTCCTAAACGTTGATGTCATAAATCGGTATTAACAACAGCCGACATTGCCGCCCCTTTACCTTTTGGTGATTCCAAGTAATACAACCCATTACAGAATCATCCCATACCGATAAGCTTTCTTGAAGCTAAGTCTTGTAATATACAAAAGTTGGAGAAAAATATGAGTGTACAATTAAGGTCGCTAGTGAGACGACTCACGGAGAGCAAATTGCATTGAAATTGTGGAACATATAAAACCCGCCGAAGATGGAATCCATTAGATAAATATAGACTACCAACAATAGAAACGGGAATTGAATCGCCATTAGGAATTTTGACTGCTGAATCGGGTGGATGAGCTAAAATGTTGAACATATCATTATCATCACAAGTGATATGTTCACTTGCTCCGGAATCAATTATCCAACTACGAGAGTGAAGTGGCGTTCTTGCCATTTCGGTGGAAGGAGATAAAAGATATGAAATCTTTAAAGAGCACCAAAATTTTTATTTCCGGGTTTTGGCTCTGATACCATGATAAAATCTAAATTTACTACTATAGTATTATATTATTAAGAGTGAAACTTAAACAATATCATATGAATAGAATGGCTTAGAAGCCGTCACTTTATCCCTGCTACATGATGTATATTTATACATATTACAATATGAGTGATAGGAGAGAATACAAATAATAATAATAGTGCATGATCATGTACTACGTGTACTTACTTAGAGATAGTACATGAGTAGTACAACTAATAATATTAATATTTAAATATTCTCAATACAACTTGCACATATTTGAGGAGTTTCGTCATGGTTTTTACTGGTTTGGTATCTTCTTGTGTTGATTTATAGGCTTTATAGGCCTTATTTATCAACTCTTCTGTGGAAAATCTCTCTTCAAACCCTTTTCTAACTTGAAGGTTGTGAGCAGCTTCAATAAACCCCACTAGAGCATGTGCAACACAAGTTTCTAACAAAACCAACAATTCACATTAGACATGAAAACAGTGAACCAAAAAATGACAAATCTATTATTTCTCTAGGGCAAGAGAGTATAGGGTTGTAAAGGAATAAAAAAATGTTGATTTGATTCGATTCAAATTCAAAATTGTGGATTTAAAATGTGGATTCAAAATAATGGACATGCGTTCCCACGCTTTGTCTTGATGGGTAGTTGTTTTGCAAAGTTAATATTTTTTTGTCAACCAATGTTAAAGTTAAATTCTCCCTATTGAAATTTAATTCAATTTTAATAGTTAAAATTTACATATTCTGAATATACATTAGCCTCTTACGATTAAATGCACCAAACCCCCTCGTGGAATATAAATTCGACGCATTAGCCCCTACGATTTAAAAATGTGTCGACTCCCTATGTTGAACGGATGTGAGTTTAATATTGGGCCTAACATGTAATTAACTTATGTACTTAATACGTAGTTTGTAGATTGGGCCAATGTAGGGCTCCGTAGCATAAGCATAGCATGTATGATGATTTATATATATGGTCATTGTATGGAATGAAAAGGCAAGAGCCAATATTTTACCATTCTTACGTACAAACTCAACATGGTATCAGAGCACCCTAAATGGGCTTTGTGAATCAGAAATACTCTGCCAATTCGTCAACACATATCTTCAGTTCTAGTAGTCCATAACATTAATATAATACTATGTATAACATGCTCTACTAATCAACTATAACTAATTAAGGAGTATTTTACAAATAAAATACTACTTCATACGTACTATAATTATTAGTGAAAGATCAGAAGAGTTGCTAACCGGTGCTCGTGCCGCAAGTCGCGGGATGAACGCAAGATGATCGTATATGTAGTCCTAAGATAAGTGTCATACGTAGTTTAGTAAATGTTTTTGGAATAAAATATGAAGTTTACTTTATTACTACGTATGATATATACATCACGTTGCTCTCTTAGTACATACTATGTAGTACTTGACATGTATTTTCTATTGGCATGTTTGACATTTAGCGATTCGCGATTATTGGATGACTGATTATGTTAGCGGGTTAGTAATAGCACATTCAGTTAGCGGGTTTGACAAACTAAATAAGTTTACGGGTTGCATTTGGTAATTTAACCGTTTGACGGTAGCAATTAGTGGGAAATGTCGTATTTCAAAATGCTAACCCAAAGCACTGCTATTAGGTTTTATCAAACATTATTTTCACTTACCGAAAATGCTAAAAGAGATCAACCTGCTCCTTTGGACTCAAATGCCAATTTCAAAACACCCTATTGTCTTTTAGTTTATTATGATATATACATCCCATTGCTCTTGTAGTATATGTAGTAGATACTACTCATGTATTATCCTACCTCCTTCCAATTTTAGTTAGTCATCTATGACTTTTCCAGTTAAAGATGGTAAAGTTTAACCAAATATTTTAACTAATATATTTATGCAAAATTTAATTATTTTATACTTTTATGATTATATTTTTAACAAAGAAAATTTTCATATGATTTTCGTATTATTATCATTACTTTTGTATATAAATGTATAGCCGGTCAAAGTTAGACACCATTGACTTGAAAAGTCAAGTTTGACTAACCAAAATGGGACAGAGAGAGTACTAAACAATTGGCTTACGTAAACTAAAATATCCTACCAAGTTTGGTACTTAACAAACCATCTTAGGTTTTTCACTTAATTAACTATACATATGTGTGTCATTATTAATCTTATATAGAGAGATCCCGCCGATTACCACATATGTTGGTCAATATTTGAAACTTAAACAAACTAATTATATGCTCCGTACGTGTGTTTATGGGTGAGTTCAAAGCTAAGTAAAATATAGCCTCCTCATGAAACAAAAGAACAAATATTAACCTTTAATCACTTTCAAATTGATGAATTGAATGAATTTTTATTCACGTTATAGGGTGTCCAAAATAGTGCAAATATTAATAGTTCAAAATGCATAGCTAATGAACAAAAGTGCATTCATCTTGAATTAAAAAAAAGACTATATATTGTGATGCACTTTTATGTATGCTCTACTTCGAGTAAAAAGGGAAAGTCATATTATGCTAGTAAAAAATAAAAATAAAAATATGGAAACTAAGAATATAACATGCATGTTGTGTATTGTGCACGGTTAGCCACACATCACCTTCAAAAAGGTCCAACAACCTGGAAATGAGGTTTTCGAACACTATATATACCTAATACCCACAACCAAAGCTTCTACGGAGTCCCATTTTAAGAACAGAGCAAGACGATACATACTAATTTGCTATTTGTTCATAATATATTTTATACATGAAATTTTTACACTAGCTATTCAATTTTCTCTCACTATATCTATCGATCACGTCTCTATTTATGTTCTAAGGCATAGGCGATCTGCGATAGGTGTAATCTATTAAGATTTAGGATGGAACCTCAAGTCTTACTATGGTATCAGAGAAAACTAATCTCTAACGAGTAATTAGATCCTGGTAAGCCTCAACAACGAGCACACGAATAACAAGGTTAGTCTGCTCCAACGAGTCACCATCTTGCGGGGGCGTATTAAGCTGTCCCAAACCGATTGCGTATAGAAATACAAAGCAACATATAAAGCCTTGTGCTCCTCCTCCTAACAGGTTCACCTTTTAGGATGGAATCCCAAGTCTTAATATGGTATCAGAGCAAATTCAGATCCAACGACTAATTAGATCCTGGTAAGCCTAAAAGACGAGCACACAGACTACAAGATTTGTCTACTCTAACGAGCCACCATTTGACTACAGATTTTGAAAATTTCAAATAAGAAGAATTTAACATTATTTTTTTAAAATTTAATTTATAATACATTAATAAATAAAATATAGTTAAAGTAGAATGAGTGTATAATGCAAAAAGTTCAACGTTGCAATTAAAAGAGAACGGATGTAGTATCACTAGTACCAACTAAGAATGAAATAGGGAAAAATGAGACAGGTAAACGGGTTGGATCACTGGATGGACTTTTTCAAAGGATGAGAAGTTTGTCCTTGAAATACATTTTGAACTGTAAAACCCAAAGCGCAGCTTATTTTACAATTTTTGAAGTAACAAACTCCCCTATTTTTCGGCACTTTCCTTCTCTCTCATTGTCTGAGGGCACCTCCAACGCACAAGTGCATTGCACATCCACATCATCAAGTGTAAGATTAAAATGGAAGTCTGCTTTCCAATGCAAAATAAAGTGGTTCCATTGTAGGTGACTTGACACCTCATAATTTGGAACAATGTCAAGGAGGAGGTCCATATTGAGACCTTGGATCTCACCCTCTGACAAAGCCAATAACGCATATGTTGGCCTCCAGGTTTTTCGTCCATTCATTTGCATTTTTGCTTTTTATTTAGTCTGCCTTAACTTTCTTGTTTGCATTGGAGTTCAAATTGAATAGACCTTACTTTTCCCTAAAATTTTGGTCCACATTTGGAATACACCATGTTCATTACTTTGCCATCTCAGCAGTAATGCACAACCGCATTGGAGTTGCTCTTAAAACATGCAACAGTCTGAAATAATTGCATCTTACATGTAGTAGTGGTACGGAATTTTCCCTACTTCCCAAATTTATCCCCTATAAAACAACAAGAAAACCATGACCAAGCAAATACTTCGTCCTCGCTAAAACACAACTATCCATATAGTCATTCATGCTTAATTTTATTTTTTGCATCCTCAAACATTCTTCTAACATTCCAGATTTCTGTCACAAAGTGTACCGGGGTGGCCCTAGGAGGAGTGCGGGGCCGCAGATCCAAAAAAAAATGATTTTTTAGACATGTTTAGTTCTTTATAATAGGTGTGAGTAGACTGATTTTTCGGTCTCAAATTAATAAATTTTTGGGTGAAATTTTTTGAGGTGTTTCTTGATGGATTTTTTAATGAAAAATTATGAGCTTTTTCTCTATGAAGGTTAGATTATGTCAACAAAATTTCAGTTTAAAACTCAATCAGGAAGTGAGTTAACTAAATTATTGAAAAAAATTACGTTTTTATGCATAGTTTGGCACAATGTTTTTCAAAAATTTATTTATCTGACTTCTCGATTAAATCTTAATCTAAAATTTTGTGGAAATAATCTACATTTGATGAAAAACATTGTCACAAAATTTAAAAAAACCACTTGGAAGCATATTAGTCTGATATGATTATTTGATTAGTTTATTTATTGACTTCATTCATAGTTGATTGTTTGATTTCTTAAATGGTTATTGCTATCTATGAGTGTCGGTGTTATAATTTGTTGATTTTGTTAGACAAAAATGTTCAAGTATGATTAAATTTATAAATATAATTATTTTCAATATGTAATAAAGATGATTGAATCTGAATAGAATAAAAAGAAAAGGAGGAGAAGATAATTAGAGAAAGCGGCGCTAAGTAACAAAGAAGAATAATTTAACTACCGAAAATGAAACGATTTAGAATGATCACGTACATCATTGGAGGGGAGAATGTAGGATTTGATACTTGATAATAATAAAGTTAATGTTGAGAATATTTTATGGTGTCCAATCTAGTTAAATATCTTTGTATTTGTGTAGTAACTATTTAGACGTGTAATATGTGTCACAAATTTATTTCAGCCCATTAGCCCTCTTGTA